TTCCTGCTCACCCAAAAAAAGAGAGCTTGGGGCTCTGCTGTGGCCTCCTCCGAGGTACTGGCAGAACAGATAGCGTGACTGACAAAGAGTTGAAATACCTGTTTTATTCTGCAGACCTTTATTGCTCTTGAGTCATGCGATCATTTCTCAAACCTTAAAAACTCTTGGCTTGTGCAGAGGTCACCCCAAATCTGCAAGGAGGACCTTTGTGCTGTGCTCTCAGCCCTTGGGTGGACTTTGGTCTTCTGCTGCAGGGGTCATCAGCTTTGCAAGTTCCTCCTTGAGTCTCTGTAACTGCTTGTGAACCTTACGGCAGCCCGGTGGATGTCGGGTCGACCCGGAGGAAGGGGAGGAGGGTGAGGGGGAGGCAGAGCGGTCTCTTGATGCTTCTTTGCAAGGCCTGTCTCTTCTCACTTCCTTTGCTCCTGCTGCACCCTTCTGACACTTGAGTTTTACAGCTTGTGGTTTTTATTTGTGTTAGTAGCGAGCTCTCAGCCCTGAAGAGCTTCAAGTTGCTGTCAGGTTTGTGCTAGGCAGAGTCACTACTCGCAGTTGCAGTTGCTTCTGTTTGTGTGGATGGTTTCACTGTCACAGGGCCCAGCCCAGCCTCCCACATGCATGCCCCTACCCACACATATATATATATATGCTGTCTGTCTTGCAGAGACCTACCGATATCCCTGACAGTCTTTTCTGATTTTTTGTCAACAGTCCCCTCACCCCTCTTGGGGGTCACTAGGTGATGAGAGCAAATAACGACACAACAGTGGTTTTGGCTGATGCTTGTCACCAGCAGTGCCCTCACATGAAGCGTAGCTGCCTCTTAGTCTTTGTGCTTGAAGCACCGAAACTTGGAGTGAGGTGTTCACCTGTGATAGCTCCCTGCTGCCAACTGATACGGGGGTGCATTGAGCACAAAGTAGAGAGTTCAGTGCCCTGTCCAAGAGGAGGTCTGCTCCTCTTGGCATAGTTATTAAAGTGAAGTGCTAGAAGAGTACTGAGAGAGCTCCTGTGGCTTTTTCCTTCCTAGCTACGTACTGCACAATGAATCAAATAGATACTATGCAGTTTAATTCTGACCGCAGATGGTGGCTTGACTTTCTTTTTTTCCTGCAAGCTGTGGCAGAGCGCAGCAGGGTTGTGGGGCTTTCAGTATGATTGGGAATAAAGTTACATTGCACCCATGAAACTACATGTCCAACCTTTGAACAAGGCAGTGTCAGCAAAGGCCAAGGGGTTAGATGGCTGTGGCTACTCTTTAACTTGTCTTTAGACATATTCTGAAGGAATCATACTAATCTCTCTGCTTACTGGTTGTTATCACTGATCTGTCAAAATACACCTCTGATCATTATTTGAGACATTTTGAGAAAGTAGGAAATGTCATAATTTGGTATAGGTATATGCACAATGCAACCTTGTTACTTGAAATAATGTTTATAGTTGTTCTTTTCCCGGGGTGGCGGGGGGAGGAAAAAAGTGTAACTTCAAGACACACAGTTGGAAGTGACCGTTTCCTTGAGTCAGCACCAGATCAAAATGAGGTTGTCGCTGTATTTATGGCTTCTGCAAATATATCCGCACGTATCTGAACAATGTATGTCATGTAGGTGGTAAGCCCTATCTTAACCTTTTAATTTGGCTCCATTTTTTTTCCTTTTTCTTCCTATAGATTGCACTAATGCTTTAAAACTTTGACCTCCTGGAGAAATGCTTCACAGCATTACTTAGCGTTCAAGCCAGCCGAGATCTTCTTGTTGGGATGGACTTTCCTCTTTTTCCTTAGGCCACTGTTTGCCCGGAGGTGACTTTTGTTTTATTCTTCAGTTCTGAATACCTGATCTCATTCTGTCCTAGCACTGATCTTCTACTGTAAGGATGTCACTGGGACAGGGATAAGGGGCTTGATAGCACATGCGTATATGACTCCTGGACGAGGATATGCGATCAGAAAAATGATCTTGGTCCCAATCACATTCACATCAATAGAAACTGGTTTACCTTTAGCACTGTAAGTGGAGAGAAATGGTTGTAGGTGACAGCTAAATGAGGTCAGAGAACTTCACCAGTCAGTTCATTGACATCCAAAATGTGGAAGGCAGAGCTTCTGTCCAGAGATACTGATTTACATCTGCAGGAGTACTTCCACTCTGATTTTAAACATAAGCCTTACCTTCTGAATTTCCAGGTATTGGGGCTTTTTCTCATAATAATACTGCAGTATTGTTATACCTGTTTTTTTTTTTGATAGACTTGCAGATACAGCAGATTGGAGTTGCGTCTTGTAACGTCTGAGGTCAAGTTTGGCTTGGGCAGTGCATAACTGTGAAGACTTTGTATGGGTACTTCAGTGCAAAATATAAAACTGCTGGGTTGCTTGTGGCTGAAAATGGGATCTGATGGCTTCAGTGATTCCTTCCTGAGTTCCTATAACTAATTTCTAATCTGGCCTTTCTCTCTTAATGTTTTTCAGCAGGGAATTGCCTAGCATTGTTCTTAGCTCTCTTCCATTTTTCTCTCTCAGCTGCACGCTAGTCTTTTAATGACACTTTCTGACAGTCTTCCTTTGTGCCTGCCTGTGCTGTAGAGATGTGTAAATAGTAACGGGAAGGAGAAGATAAAGAAGATAAAAACTCTACTGATTTTCTTCCACTTTCCCTCAGTGCGACCTGCACACAGGCAGTGAACACACAGCCCCTTCTGCGGCAGCGCTGGGCTCCCTCTGCACACGGACTACCTGTTAATGCCATGTGTGACATGGCGCTGGTGCAGAGCAGGTGCTGTACGGACCCTTGCTGGCTTCGTGCTGGTGGGGGTCTCTCCCAGTGGTGGCCTCTGTGCCACGTTCAGGCAAAGCATCCCAAAAGTGCCATTCGGGCAGCTGGCACGTGCCGTTTTCCCCTGCCACCATTGCCCATGTTTCAGAAGCTCCTGCCTTCGTAATTGCAGCCCATGCTCCCTCCTGATTCAGGATTGTCGCTGCGTGTGTGTTTGTTGAAGCGCCTTGTGAGCCAAAATCCACTGCTGTTACAAAATCAGCAGCAGGGCCAGTTCTGCCAATGTCGGTGATATCAGTCGTTAGCATCTGAAAAGATGATGTGTATTTTGTTTTCACTATTCAAGTACTGGTAACTGCCAGAAGCAGGATATGGGACAGTGTGGTCCAGAAGGTTGTCCTGCATTGCAAACCCCACGTCTGTGCCTGCCTTCTCTTCTTGAACTACGTTATTTCTGTTTTACTGATGTCACTCATCGATTAGAATGTTGCAACCTAGTTGCTATGATCCAGAGCAAGAACTAATTGTACGTAAAGGAAGAAGTCCTCCGGCAGCTCTGGTCCTCAGGTGTTAACTCTATTTTGGGAATAACATTGCAATAAGGGAAGATCAAAGGTCACCATGCATATATTTTGGGTTTTCTTTATTGTATTCTCTGGATGCAAATTCAGGCTAGTACTTCTTCAAACACAGCAAAGAAAGCAATGTAAAAAGTTGTAAAAATGTCACCCCTTCATATTTATCATGTGTTGGGCTGACCAAAATCAAACAAAGCTAAACAACGCACTGTGAAAGTAAACACAGCTGCCTTTTTTTGCATAGCTATAAGAAATAAGTGGGGAAATGCAAAGAATCCCTTTATAATGAATAGTTTAGAACAAGGTTAGTAACAATTTGCCTTTAATTCAGCGCATTAACAGATTGTTCTCTGTGGAGTTCGGTGGTCCTGGGTCTAAACAGAGCCTTTTATCTTGGGTGAAGTTTTTATCAGTGAGAAGGTTTATGTTTCAGAGGGCCATGTTCAACAAGCTGTTCATGGAACCAGGCAAACAGTTAATTTGACTGAAAACAATGCTACTCCTTTTCGTTGTGCGCAAATATGGGTGTTTCAGTATACTTACTTGGTTGCTCATTGATGTACAGGCAGAAGTTCTGGAGCCTGTGGAAATGCATCTGTTTAAACATATTTTTTTCTTTCCCCCACCTTTGATGCAGACTTAGCGGTTGAGCTAAAAATCCTCAGGGTTTAAAGGATTAAATGAGAACAATTGTTAAGGTGCAGGAAGGGCTGAAAAGTCCTGAAAATATGACAGGAGGTAGATGCTGAAGGACCTGCTTAGTGAACTACAGCCTTCTTTGTTATGGGTATAAATATAACTGTGAGTGGCAGACTGGTGGGTCGGTAGGGATTTTATAGCTGCAAATAATAAAAAAAAAGGAGATCTAATGATGGCTGACCTGAAGGTCTGCTGCTGGGCAGCTTGGTGAAGCCAGTGGGAGGATGCTTTCTTGTTAGGGGTCACAAATTTGTTTCTCCCCCCACATTATAAGGTCAGCGCTGGTTTTCATTTCGCCTTAGCTGGACTTTTTTGTTCCCATCGGTTCCTGTAAGTAACCTGTTCCTTCCCATTTTTCTTTGTCTCAGGTACTGAAAGGTTCAGGCCAGAGGTTTTCCTGCGCTCTCCATAGCTGCTGCCCAGCACTGCCCTGAGGAGAAGTGGCGGGAAGGCAGGCGCTGCCCTGAGGAGAAGCAGTGGGAAGGCGAGTGCTGCCCCTCAGCTGCAAGGTGCCGGGGTGAGGCTCGTTACGAGGCCCACTGTGCCACCCTGCGCTGGCCACCATGGAGACCCTCTCCCAGGACTCTCTGCTGGAGTGCCAGATTTGCTTCAACTACTACAGCCCCCGCCGGCGGCCCAAGCTGCTGGACTGCAAGCACACCTGCTGCTCGGTGTGCCTGCAGCAGATGAGGACCAGCCAGAAGGACCTGCGTTGCCCCTGGTGCCGTGGGATCACCAAGCTGCCACCGGGGTACTCTGTGTCACAGCTCCCCGATGACCCCGAGGTGATCGCTGTCATTGCAATCCCCCACACCTCGGAGCACACCCCTGTCTTCATCAAACTCCCCAGCAATGGGTGCTACATGCTGCCATTGCCCCTCTCCAAGGAGAGGGCACTACTGCCGGGAGACATTGGCTGGGGGGCCCCCGCCCGCCGCCGCCCACCACAA